CTTGACCCTTCTAGCTAAGAATGGGTCATGAGTAAATTCTAGAAATAGATAGCTCTAACCTCCCTTTCCCCTATATATAAATATGTATTCCCACTATGTAATCCAATAATATTTATAATAAAGTAAATAGAGGAAAGACCTCTCTTAAAAAAAAAAAAAAAAAAAAAAAAAAAAAAAGTAATAAAGTCATTTTTTTCCATTGCAAAATTTCATTTCTTCATTTTTGATCAGGATCATAGTGTTGATTTAAATCGTTTGTTTTCTTATATTTCTTTTCGTTTTGCAATCGTCAGATAAGTGTGAATATAAATGTGATTATGATACACTGCTATCTTATATAGAATTCCATTATGTGTAATTATGATTATGTTCTCTTTATAATAACGTGGTGGCATACACATTACAGTAGTGTGATCGAAAATTCTGTGTTACTGATAAATATAATAATCTGTGCTATGAATCCAACCATTACAAATTCTGGTGATCATAGGAAGACATTCGTATGATTGGCTGTTTAAATCAATTTAATTTTTACATTATTTATATAGTTTAAAGTACTTTTTAAAAAAAAGAAAACTACGATGAATAAACAAAAAAAAAGTATACAGAAGTTTTATTAGAGTTGTATGACTCCACTATTGAAAAGTATCTAAACCCTTTTTGTTTTAGAGAAGCTAGCATAATAGCGACTTCTTAAAGATAGGTTATCATCATGCTAACTTCTCTAAAACAAAAAGGGATTTAGATACTTTTTAATAGTGTAGTCCTATAATCCTAATAAAACTTTTTTTTTTGCTTATTCTTCGTAGTTTTCTTTTTTTTAAAAAAGTACTTTAAACTGTATAAATAATGTAAAATTAAATTGATTTAAACAGCCAATCATACGAATGTCTTCCTATGATTCTGGTGATGTAACCTGTTTTTTTGTTGCTAAATCGAAGGTTCAAGTATAACTATCAATAAAATTTGTTAAGTAACGTAAAGCCAGAAATATTTTAATTAAACGGAAATCTCCGGCATTTTACAATAAGTTCGTCCTTTGATTCCAACAGTGAAAGTTCAAAAGTCTGTAAGACCAAAATTCGTGACAGCCTCGGAATAATGATTAGAGCTGTACCCCGGCCTCGTGTACTGTAGTGCATTGCCCCTTTTTTTGTACTCCCGGTTAAATACCCGGGTATTTTACATGGCATTTTTTTTAATCGAGGATAATGCCCGGAACTTTGCACATTATTTTTTATATTGCTGCATATTAATTCCTACATTATATATATAAGACTATACAAAGCATCCATACAATATACCTGTCGCCAGCAAAATACTACAGGTATTTTGTAAGTCCTTTAGTGGGTGTTTTGAATTAGACTCGGGTCTTTTGGCAGTTTATTTGGTATACTGTGATATAAATCATCATGTGTGAAACAATTAACTATGCAATGTTGTTGCACTAAACCCATGAATATAGTAAACTATCTTTATATCATACAAAAATATTTATTTAACAAAATAATTAAATTTGTCTCAAAGTTGTTTAAATGATTATATTTATTTTTTGTAACAATCAAAAATATCAACTTAAGAATTTATCAATTTAAGAATTTATCTATCTTTAATATTTTCAATATTCTTATAAATCTTATCTAATAACTGTGCTTCAACCACATAGTCTCTTAAAAATAATTCTAAGGCTTCAATTTTTTTACCTAATTTTTTGGCTAGGTTTTCATCAGTAACATGAATAGATGAATCTGGAGGCTGAACTAAAGGAAGTTTTGGTAAAAGTTTAATTACCGTACAGCACTGACTTAAGTATCCCCCCTATGTCTAATACCCCTTACCA